GAAAAGTAATTTGGCAATTTAAAATTGCAAATTTTGGAAGGCTATAACTTCAAAAGTGTAGGTAAGAGCGACAAATTATGATTGCACCATCGTTCTTAACTCTTTGAGTTACATAAGTTTCGACACCAAAAAATCAAATTACTGAGGGGTGACTCGACTGCATTTATACCCAAAATATAAACTAGATAGAATAAAATATAAATGTACCTACACTCTACATCAGGGGTATCCAGCCTTTTGTTAAGACTGAGCCACATCATATAGGTAGAAACTAGAAGTTGTTGTGGGCCACACACTTTTTTTAAATAATAATACATTAAAATTTAATGAGATTAAATTATATTCTACAATACAACAATAGATTTTTTATAATTTTACAGACTTACAGCATCGAATAATAAGCAGAAATATCTTTATAAATACATTTTTAAACCTATTTTTTTTTTATTTAAAGGAAACTTTGTTAACAATTAGTTTTGACAATTATATGATTACAATGATGGTACATACAAGAATATAAAATCAATGATAGAAAATATATCACAAATAAATTAAATTTTTAAACCAGCTTGATTGGAGAAGTATATAAGTGAGGTAATAATTGGAAAAACTGGTGAGGAGAGACTGGATTGGGTGTCGAAAGGGACATTAAAAGAGTGAGTTAGGGCGAAAAGGATATATATTATACGTACTATATGTGTCAATGAGGTTTTATTAAACTGAATAGTGCCAAGGTATATGTAATCTTTGAGTCATTTCACTAGATAGGAACGAACTAAGAATCAAAAAGCGCATACCATCGTACCTCAAAGTTAACATGTGCCATTCTAATTAATTTTAGAGAGTGTCATTAGCTAGAGAATACGAGGGTAAGGCGTATTATAGTTGTTTTATCTCGTATTATCCAATATTGGTGATACCACTACATGATGCACTGAAGTGCATGCCACTGCACTTAAGCGTGCCACATACGCAGACTTTACTGCAGTTTATTCCCAAATCGCTAGGTGATGCATTATCTATTATTTTATGATTTATTTACTCTCTATTTATAATCTTATTTATATCCAATGTCCACGTGCTCCCTTCTGTCCTTTTACACTTAATAGTTTATCACAATAAATTACACACTTTACAAAAGATTTGGTGTACCCTCCCTCCTCCTTTTTTTTTTTTTAACGTTTATTTAAATATACACAATCTGTAAATGTTGTTTTACAATAAGTGCATGTGATGGAGGTGATATGGCTTTTGAGAGGCTGGAAATAAGAAACCGCCCATTGGAGGCACTTAAGGTTAGG